CGCGCGATCTGACAAAATAATCGTAGGAACCTAGTTTTGAGCTTTCGGAAAGCCAACAAATTTCAAAGACTTTATTGCTATTTGGACGACATCGGTTAACAAATAACCATACGGATCGTTATTCTACGCCAACAGCACATGTAACTGAACGGCGGCCATTTACAAAAATGTTTGTAGAACCGTAACCGTATCGCTGACCCGAAACACGATAGTTTACTAGTCGGTACGGTGTATTGTATATATAAACGAGCCATTCTGCCGAACCGCAGTAACACAGAATTGTGTATCGATCATAAAATTGCATTTATCGTAATCGTCAAACCTCAACTCTACATCATGACAGACAACGTCGTCGTAGCCGCTCCGGCCTCAGTTGCAGCATCGCCAGCCGTGAAAAAATCTCCGGCCAAGAAGAAGGCAGCAGTTAAGGCAAAGAATACCGCAGCGTCTCACCCGTCCACCTCCGTGATGGTAACGTCTGCCATCAAAGAGCTCAAGGAGAAGAAAGGTTCGTCTTTGCCGGCTATCAAGAAATATTTGGCCGCCAACTACAAAGTGGATCCCGCCAAATTGGCGCCGTTCATCAGGAAGTTCTTGAAAGCCGCCGTTGCCAACGGTACAGTCATTCAGACTAAAGGTACCGGCGCTTCTGGACACTTTAAATTGCCGGTTGCCGAGGTCAAGCCGAAAAAAGTTGCCGTAGCCAAGAAGAAGAAACCGGCCGTTAAAAAGGTCAAAGCCCCTGGAGCTGTGAAGAGGAAATCGACGACCGCCAAGAAAGTGAAGCCCGCGTCCGGTGAACCGGCAGCTAAAAAAGTCAAGAAGACCGCCGCTGCAGCTAAACCGAAGGCTGCCAAGCCCAAGAAGTCGCCTACCAAAGCAAAAAAACCAGTCGCTGTCAAACCAAAAGTGAAAAAGACTCCGACCAAGAAAACTGTAGCTCCCAAGAAAAAGTAAATTTTACTTCCCCGTTCTTTTTAAAACGGTCCTTTTCAGGACCACCACTTATAATTTAATTCGCTCTCCAATAAATTAATGGTTTATGAAGTGGTCCAAACATTTTATTATCGATATGTAATATAATTATAGTAATTACCAAGTCTCATCAACAATATATTACATTATAAGACTTGTCGAGCATTGTAAAAGTTTTGTTACAAAAATTCGTTCCAGTGAAGGCCATGTCTTATCCTTAACACGTTCACTGCCGGTGTCAACACGTAGTTGACACACGTACATTCGCCGGTGGCCGCTGTCAATACGTTGTTGACACCAAGACTATCCATTTTTAATATATTGTCACGGGGTCGGCTTTTATTGCATGTTATTTATTTATTTATTAATATATTCGATAGCCCGTGTAGAATTGAATGGTATAGTTGGATTCATTTTTCGAATTATTTATAGAATATTTTTCCTAATTATTATTTTCGTCGATATTATTTATTATCTTAATATATAATACACATATACCAAATTATTATTGTTGAAATATTACACAGTTTTATCTTTTATGTTTGACAGTCATTCTTCAACGTGCGTACATTGTCGTAGTCAGTCGTAGTCACTAGAATTGATATTATTTTGTGTGTGTTTTTTTAAGTACATTTAAAATTGTTCATTTTAATCCTATATAGTGATAGTATAATGGCTTCTATTCTCACTGATGAAGAAATACTCATTATGATTAATAATGGAGATTTTCTATTGTCAGACGAAGATTTTGGTCTTAATTCTGGGAGTGATAGTTTAGGCGAGGGTGATTCTGCAGATGACGATTGCGATCAAAATAATATAGTTGAACAAAATATTGCCAATCAATCGCCTGCATCGCTTACTGAAACAGATTTAGCTTCACCACAAATTAGCCGTGAAAACAATTATAACTGGTCTACTTTTCGTCCTCAAGTTATAGATATTCCTTTTTCTGAAACACCAGGACTTAAAATTTTTCCTAAAGGTAACGACCCAATTGATTATTTTAATTTATTTGTTACAAACACATTTTGGGAGTTTTTAGTTGAAGAGGCAAATTCATATGCAGTTGAAGTCTTTTTGAACAGCGATCGGTCTAATTCTAGTATTTCAACTTGGAAAAATACAGACGTTGTTGAAATGAAAAAATTTATTGCTCTTTTATTTCACACTGGTACTATTCGCGTAAATAGATTAGAAGATTATTGGAAAAACCAATGAGCTTTTCAATTTTCATATTTTTCGAAGTACTATGAGTCGTAACCGATTTATGCTATTGCTCAGAGTCCTACATTTTTGCAAAAATCCGGGACAAAATGATAATCCTACAAGTCGCTTACATAAAATCGACAAAATGACAAATTATTTCAATAAAACAATGGAAGAACTTTACCAACCATCTAAAAATTTATCGATCGACGAATCTATGGTTTTATTTAGAGGAAGACTTATGTTTCGTCAGTATATAAAAAATAAGAGACACAAATACGGGATTAAGTTGTATATGATGACTGAGTCGTGGGGATTGGTTCATAGAGTTCTAATTTATTCAGGAGAGGGTACTGGTACATCAGAAGAGTTAAGTCATACCGAATACGTTGTAGAGAAACTAATGGAAGGTTATTATTACAAAGGCCATTCAATCTATATGGACAACTATTATAACAGTGTCAAGTTAGCACATTATTTATTAGAAAAACAAACATACTGTACGGGTACTTTACGAGCCAACAGAAAAAATAATCCTAAAGCTATAAATGATAAAAAATTGAAGAAAGGTGAAACAATTTGTCAATATACAGAAAAGGGAGTTGGTGTGGTAAAATGGAAAGACAGACGAGATGTGATCGCAATATCTTCAGAACATTCACACGATTTGGTAAATATAACTAATAGAAGAGGAATAATTAAATCGAAACCTCTTTCCATAATAAAGTATAATGAATATATGTCGGGCATTGACAGACAGGATCAAATGCTTTCCTATTATCCTTGCGAAAGGAAAACGTTGCGGTGGTATAAGAAACTAGGAATACACTTTATACAAATCCTACTACTTAATTCGTACTTATTGTATAACAGAAATGTAAAAAAAATTGCATTTTACGACTATCGGTTAAAAATTATTTCGACTATATTAAATTCTGGGGAAAATAATATTACTAAAAGACAACCAACAAATAATAATGCATTACATTTTTCAAAAAAAGTACTATGTTTGAAATCGAAACGATAATTAAGGTTTTTTCTGTGTTAAGATTATAGCATTATATAGTTTATTTATAATATATATTAATATGTTCGTGCAAATGGTTATAGCGTTTAATGTTCGTGTTTACTAATGTATAGATCATTTTAAATATTATTATTTAAGTTATTTTGTTGTAATTCACAAGGGTTGTGACAATTTAAATCTTATGGGTTTATTTTAAAGAACAAAATCATCATTAATAGTGTTTGTTAAAAACGAGAAGGTTTTCTGTCGTTAGCGTTATTAATATTTAGATATTTAAATGATACGGTAGCTAGTAATCATTACATACGTTGAGCTATAAGATTAAATATATTAATCAGAACTTATTTCAGAGCTTTAAGAAAATCTAGAGGTTCTACAACGTTAATAGAACTTACAGAGCAGAGTTATACGACCACGCCTTTTACCGGGTTGGCATGACTATTTATTAACAAATTTAAAAGAAAAATTAAATTTTCATTTGTGAATATCGAGAACAAACATATTATTCTCTTATGCATGATACTATATGAATAAAATAACTTTATGTTTTAGACTACTGTCTACAGCGATATGCTCATCCTAATCGTGGCTGTTTGTGGGTTCAGTGTTACGGAACAATATTTTATGAGATTATTATCCATTAGAACATGCTCTGTATTCGATTTTCAGCCATTGTACTTGGACGATAATATATACGTGATTTTGCTTTCTTCCTGGCAGTTGTGTAATTAAACAGTTACTATGATTAATTAAATGCAATTGCAGTTTATTTGCATTGATTATACTTAAACGAAACCAAACGTTTAGAAATAATAATAAATGATGTACAAATTGAGAATAAATTTATATGTCTGAATCAAATTTATTTTGTATTCTTATATAGGTATAAAAATAATATTAACGATTTATAAATTGTGATGCAAACGATATAATCACATGAAAACAGGTTGTGCTACTTTTAGTAAAATGACATATTTTCACGCCACTACTTGATAATATAAACTCATAATTGATCACATATGAAAAAGCCAATAGTAATAGATAATTTACATTCCCAAAACACTATAGTTCGTTTAAATTTCCAATGAATACTTCGACATCGTATTCAAGCGTAATGCTACGTCCATAATAAGTTTTAAAAGTGCTGTACACCCAAGAATCTAACTGAATTATTATTGTTATTGTAACTAATGTTACCTATTTTATTACTGCTTACAGGTTTTAGAAAAATATATGATAACAGATTTACATTGTACCGTCAGGAGATCTCATACTCGTTTTATTAGTGAACTTAGTCGTTGTGATTGTGTCTCAGGTTCAAATCACTCATTATCTATCAGTTGAATCTTTGGTAAGATAAAGATAAATCAGAGAATAAAGAAAATAAATCCATTATGCGTAATACGTCAGAATATTTTGTTTTATTTCGTATGTTTAGTTGATTGCTTGGATATACATACATTTAAAACTTATTTGATATTTTAGTATACTTGATTCAGTCGAAGCGCCGATTTGAAGTTTGACTGTATCGAGTGATTTGAGGAAGGTGAGTTATTTTTGATACGAGTATAATATACTAGGTTGACAGACCGTTTCATTTAAAACCGTATTTTAACCTGGTGAAACACTAAGTATATTGTATAAGTATATCAAATAACTCACAATCGTCATCAAACACTCATTATTAAGCTATAACTCTGACTCATCAACTCATATCATAAACTATACAACTAAAATATTATACTAATAATTTTATTTTCTTTGTCTCATCTACCAAAACTAAGCGATAGACCTAATTAATCTTTAACTCTAACTATCTAATCACTAATAACTTTCGATATATCTCAATATCTATTCTATATTTCTAAAACTTCTAATAACTGTAATAAATAGTACGTATGTTACAATAACTAATAATAGACAATTAAAATGCCAGATAACTACGCTTT